TAGGTCAACATTACATACCTTTACTTATTTCAGTATTCTTCGAGAGCAGATTTAGTCAAAAAGCATCAGCTCATCAAATACACTTCCTGTTCATTTCAATAATCCCTGTACCCTTAAAGACTGTGCTTCCCTGAGACAACAGGATCAGGGGCAGTTTCTAAAGTGGATAGCACTCCCAACTTCAGCTTCTATGATTCTAGAATCTAATACTCCTGCACTGTTGCTTCTTGGTATAAAGTTGTTATGGTTCTAAGCAAAAGGAGGGATTATATATTTTTCTCTGCGTCATATAAAAGAATATTTGTGACTTTAATTAGACGTGTCTGAGGGGGAAGAGCCCTGGGAAAGATGGACACAGATTCGTAAAGTAAGACAATATAACCACCAGAGTCATGTAAAGCATCACTGCTCCAGAACTCCCATGAGTTCCTCATGCTAACATTCAAAGACTACCTCTGTTTGGTTCCTTGAGCAATGGCCTTTGCTGTCACAATTCTCACGTTCTTAATTCTGCACAGAATGAAACATTGGCAGCAATACCTGCACAGCATCTTGACTAGAAAGTCAAAACTGACCCCAACAAGTATGAGTACTGTCTGGGAATATTAATCTTTTCTAGGCACATTATTTTCTTTTTAGTCATCAGCTTTTTGAGAGCTACATAGTCTTCTCCAAATGTTGTATGGTGTCTGAGGGACATGAGGAACTCTTAAAGAGCTGAATATCAGGCTCCAACTCAGCAGACCTTCAGTGAAAGCTGCCAGGGATAGTGTCTGAGACTGTGGAAGTAATGTCATGATTTGATTGTTAAGTTTCTTTTTGTTTGGTAACATTGCTGCTTCATTTTTAAACAAGTTATGTTTGATTGGGCCAAACCTTATTCTATTAGTGGTGGTCTTTGAATGGGGCATTTATTGGCATTACACATATTGGTGAGATCTCCGCTTCCACTTAAAAATGGGCAAGATGTCATCAAATAATCCTCTGTCTCCACACTCTCTCACCATTGGTCACACACCAGATCCATTGTCATGGTGAGATGCCATTCCACTGCCAATGGGAAAGCAGACAAACAATGATTGGATGATCCCTGAGCTTCAGTCATTAGTCCCCTCTCCAGTGCGGTTGAATTAGTAAATAAGGATTGGAAATAACACACTGTTTTTGATTTTCCAACCTCTGTGAAATGTCTACAATGTTGGCACAATCCTGGAGAGTCCGGGTCAATGCGGGAGAAGAGAGATAACAAGGTGGAGAGCTGGATGAACACAGCAGGCCAAGCAGCATCAGATGAGCAGGAAAGCTGACGATTCAGGCCTAGACCCTTCTTCAGAAATGGGGGAGGGGAAGGGGATTCTGAAATAAATAGAGAGAGAGGGGGAGGCGGAAAGAAGATGGATAGAGGAGAAGATAGGTGGAGAGGAGACAGACAGATCAAAGAGGCGGGGATGGAGCCAGTAAAGGTGAGTGTGGGTGGGGAGTTAGGGAGGGGATAGGTCAGTCCAGGGAGGACGGACAGGTCAAGGGGGCAGGATGAGGTTAGCAGGTAGGAGATGGGGGTGGGGCTTGAGGTGGGAGGAGAGGATAGGTGGGAGGAAGGACAGGTTAGGGAGGCGGGGACGAGCTGGGCTGGTTTTGGGATGCGGAAGGGGGAGGGGAGATTTTGAAGCTTGTGAAGTCCACATTGACACCATTGGGCTGCAGGGTTCCCAAGCGGAATATGAGTTGCTGTTCCTGCAACCTTCGGTAGCATCATTGTGGCACTGCAGGAAGCCCAGGATGGACATGTCGTCTAAGGAATGGGAGGGGGAGTTGAAATGGTTCGCGACTGGGAGGTGCAGTTGTTTAGTGCGAACCGAGCGCAGGTGTTCCCCAAAGGTTCCTACTATCTCTGAAACAATTTTAACCCCACTGCGAAGGCTCTTATAAGGTACCTCTCCCTATTTATTTCAGAACCCCCTTCCCCTTCCCCTTCCCCTCCCCCATTTCTGAAGAAGGGTCTAGGCCCGAAACGTCAGCTTTCCTGCTCCTCTGATGCTGCTTGGCCTGCTGTGTTCATCCAGCTCTACACCTTGTTATCCCAAGCCACCACTTGCTTTCCCCGACGTACAGGAGGCCACAACGGGTACAATATACCACATTAGCAGATGTGCAGGTGAACATCTGCTTGATGTGGAAAGTCTTCTTGGAGCCTGGGATGGGGGTGAGGGGGGAGGTGTAGGGGCAGGTGTAGCACTTCCTGCGGTTGCAGGGAAAAGTGCCGGGTGTGGTGGGGCTGGAGGGGAGTGTGGAGCGGACAAGGGAGTCACGGAGAGAGTCGTCCCTCCGGAAAGCAGATAAGGGTGGGGAGGGAAAAATATCTTTGGTGGTGGGGTCGGATTGCAGATGGCGGAAGTGTCGGAGGATGATGCGTTGGATCCGGAGGTTGGTGGGGTGGTACGTGAGGACGAGGGGAATTCTGTTTTGGTTGTTATTGCGGGGATGGGGTGTGAGGGATGAGTTGCGGGAAATGCGGGAGACACAGTCGAGGGCATTCTCGACCACTGAGGGGGGGAGCTTGCGGTCCTTGAAAAACGAGGACATCTGAGATGTACGGGAATGGAATGCCTCATCCTGGGAGCAGATGCAGCGGAGGTGAAGGCATTAGGAATAGGGGATGGCATTTTAGCTCTGCATCTCTGAAACAATGCGGGAGAAGGTTGGGAATATAGATTCCCGCTCTAAGGGAGTACCCGGATGAAAGAGGCGGGCTTTGAGAGAATGACAGGGCGGGGCCACGGGCTGACTGACAGCAATGGGGTTGAATGGGCGGGGCCACATGGTGACTGACAGCAGAGATAGTAGGAACTGCAGATGCTGGAGAATCCAAGACAACAAGGTGCAGGGCTGGATGAACACAACAGGCCAAGCAGCATCATAGGAGCAGAGAGGCTGACGTTTCAGGCCTGGACCCTTCATCAGAAAAGGGGGAGGGGAAGGGGGTTTTGAAATAAATAGGGAGAGAGTGGGAGGCGGATAGAAGATGGATAGAGGAGAAGATAGGTGGAGAGGAAACAAACAGTTCGAAGAGGCGGGGATGGGGCCAGTAAAGGTGAGTGTAGGTGGGGAGTTAGGGAGGGGATAGGTCAGTCCAGGGAGGACGGACAGGTCAAGGGGGCAGGATGAGGTTGGTCGGTAGGAGATGGAGGTGCGGCTTGAGGTGGGAGGAGGGGATAGGTGGGAGGAAGAACAGGTTAGGGAGGCAGGGACGAGCTGGACTGGTTTTGGGATGCGGTAGGGGGAGGGGAGATTTTGAAGCTTGTGAAATCCACATTGATACCATTGGGCTGCAGGGTTCCCAAGCGGAATATGAGTTGCTGTTCCTGCAACCTTTGGGTGGCATCGTTGTGGCACTGCAGGAGGCCCGGGATGGACATGTCGTCTGAGGAATGGGAGGGGGAGTTGAAATGGTTTGCGACTGGGAGGTGCAGTTGTTTATTGCGAACCGAGCATAGGTGTTCTGCAAAGCAGTCCCCGAGCCTCCGCTTGGTTTCCCCGATGTAGAGGAAGCCACACCGGCTACAGCATACCACATTAGCAGATGTGCAGGTGAACATCTGCTTGATGTGGAAAGTCTTCTTGGGGCCTGGGATGGGGGTGAGGGAGGAGGTATGGGGGTAGGTGTAGCACTTCCTGCGGTTGCAGAGAAAAGTGCCGGGTGTGGTGGAGCTGGAGGGGAGCGTGGAGCAGACAAGGGAGTCACGGAGAGAGTGGTCCCTCCGGAAAGCAGATAAGGGTGGGGAGGAAAAGATGTCTTTGGTGGTGGGGTCGGATTGCAGATGGCGGAAGTGTCGGAGGATGATGCGTTGGATCCGGAGGTTGGTGGGGTGGTACATGAGGACGAGGGGGATTCTTTTTTGGTTCTTATTGCGTGGACGGGGTGTGAGGGATGAGTTGCGGGAGATGTGGGAGACACGGTTGAGGGTGTTCTCGACCACTGAGGGGGGGGATGTTACGGTCCTTGATACTCCTCCTCTCACCCACCTTCCTGCAAAAATGCTATCCCCTATTCCCAATTCCTTCGCCTCCGCCGCATCTGCTCCCAGGATGAGGCATTCCACTCCCGTACATCTCAGCTGTCCTCGTTTTTCAAGGACTGCAACATCCCCCCCTCAGTGGTCGAGAACGCCCTCAACCGTGTCTCCCACATCTCCTGCAACTCATCCCTCACACCCCGTCCACGCAATAAGAACCAAAAAAGAATCCCCCTCGTCCTCACGTACCACCCCACCAACCTCCGGATCCAACGCATCATCCTCCGACACTTCCGCCATCTGCAATCCGACCCCACCACCAAAGACATCTTTCCCTCCCCACCCTTATCTGCTTTCCGGAGGGACCACTCTCTCCGTGACTCCCTTGTCTGCTCCACGCTCCCCTCCAGCTCCACCACACCCGGCACGTTTCCCTGCAACTGCAGGAAGTGCTACACCTGCCCCATACCTCCTCCCTCACCCCCATCCCAGGCCCCAAGAAGACTTTCCACATTAAGCAGATGTTCACCTGCACATCTGCCAATGTGGTATACTGCATCCGCTGTACCCGGTGTGGCTTCCTCTGCATCGGGGAAACCAAGCGGTGACTGACAGCAACCGGGCTGAATGGGT